CTGATCATCGGACTTTCACACATTTCCATGTTGAAGCGTTTAATAATCGTAGTTGCCTTCGGTCGCCCTTGTTCTATTTTCTGGCTAAAGAATGGACCTGAACGGATGGAATTTCGGAATAACTATTTTATCGCACTTAGCAGCATCTTCACAATGTCAAATTATTTCAAACTTTGTCTTATACCTTGACTACAATGGCCATCAGAGACTACAGCCAATTGGAGTCTTGGAAATATTATACAATCCAACCAAATCGCTATATTAACTAACATTTGTGATACAAGAGAGGTGGCTATTGCAGTCAAGTATAAGTACGAAGTTCATAATGGTTTAGCATTGTGAATTGCCATTAGCCATTCAATTCAAATGCAGTGCAGCGCCAGTGTCGGTACAGAGGGAGCACCGACGTTTGCATCACCAATTGTACCCCAACTATATATATAACAAATTAAGAGTTATGATTTTTTACACATATTTGCATTAAAATATCTATACACTTGATACCACTGATCAACTGTATTTACTACGTCGATAACCATTTCAGAAAGTCAATAATTCATCATTATGTTGATTTTATTGATATAGTTTTCATTAATTCATTTTTGTCGCGATATTCCGGAACGATTTTTAAGAGATAGAACAGGACACCGGACATACAAAGTTGTAGTCTATACTCAATACATACAATTTCCGTGTTACGTCTATCGATTCTATATCAGTTTGTTTGTGTTTGAGTTAACTGCATGAGTTGTTGGGATCACTTAAAACACTACAAGAAACAATGTTCATAGTTCTCTATCTTCTGTTTCCGGGAAATCTTGAGCTGTATTTGTGAGGTTCTATGGTACAGTCGGTTGGAGCGTAGGTTCTTAACAAGACGTCATATACATGGTTACGTGGAGCACATGGCGGCTGTGGGTTTCGATCTCGATCGGCGTGCGAAAGTCCGATGAACTTGCATAAGTCATCTTCACTCATAATTCCAGTCGACCTAGCTGTAAATGGGTACGGATAATCTGGGAAAGATCAACGTGTAGATTTATTTCAACATTATCTTAACAAGTTATATTTGTGGTATCTTGCTAGGCAACAATTTGTTTAAGTTTGTTGTAGCAAGTCGTATGTTGCGTCTGTACGCGTACCCTTAGTCAAATTCGTTGAATATCCAAGGAAATTTCCTTGCCAAGTTTTCAGATGTAATTAATTAATCTTGGAATTAGTAATCAACTCATAGAATAGTTACGTCCCTTGATCATTTATTTTAATCATCATTATTACAAAGCCCGTAACTCGTTTTATAGAATTATATAACTATCGTCAAAAGGCGCACAGGCCTTAAAGCCAAATTTGATATTTAAAATCCAAAAGGGATTATGTGAAAATAATATCAAAAGCACTCATTGACGAAAAATAAGGCTATTAAGAATTTTATAATTAAATTATGACAGTTTTAAACCTTTAAATGCATTACTTTCACACTCTAGAGACTTACAGCTGTTTCTAAATTTATTTATTACGCACTAGAATCCAGAATTAAATAGGTTTTTTTATATTATATGTTTTATTTATTTATTTATTATTTATGTTAACTTAGCATGTCTTATTAGACTTAAAATAAGATAGTATTAATTTGCTTGATATCGTCCGTCATGCTCTTGCATAAATTTATAGATATTTTTGTCACCACATATGGTGTGTATTTGTTGATGCATTATTTTGTTATGATGTTGCATTTTTCAAACTTGTTGATGTACACACTATATTTTTTTGTATAACTATTAATTGATATCAGTGTGGCATATTTGTATCACTTATTACTATGTATTATCTTGTATCATGATGTATGCTGCCCAAAAAGGGCGAACAATACAATAAATATCTGTCTATCTATCTATCTACAAAAATACTTGAAATAGTTAAAAAATCAGGTACGATTTGGTTGCATCTGAGACCATTCCAAACAGAATTTCTGTTGACAACGTACAACGATTCCCCCCTCAAGTAGTAACATACATTCACAAAAAAAAAATTGATACTACGTCTTAGAATAAACATAAAATTTAGAATTTTTAAACTTGGCCAATAAGAGCATTTATTCATCAGTAGATAACCTGGTGTTATAAATAACATAACAGGATCCTTATATAATCCGATAAATCCAAAAAACCTAATAAAAATGCAATTAACTATTGAAAAACGCTTAATATTAAGATTAAGCGTTGTTCATTAATTACTTAGTTTTATGAATTTACAGGGATTCTGTTGTAACTTAATGACACTAGATAAGTTCACTGATGAATATATACTCATATTGACCATTCTTGAGAACTTAAATTTTATGTTCATTCTAAGACGTAGTATCACTTTAAAATGAGGGCTTTTTTTAAGATTTCCGCCTTGATATAAACATTTGTAAAGGAATTTTAGCAAAACTGAAAAATTTAGGATTTAGAAATTTTAGGGCCGCTGGATAGTCTGAAAGCTGCCAAAATTTACAAAAACCCAATATGCACATGTAATAAAAAGAAATAACAAAAATGAAAATAGTATGGATTACAGTTCTAAAAATATTATATGTGGGTCCGATTAAAACGCGAAAAGAAGAGCAAACATATTATATTGGAGTGCTGCAATGTTTATTCCGACTTTTTACAGGAGGGAGTTTATGGCGGGATTCCTGGTACAGTGGAAGAATTAAAATAATGCCTCTCAAGTCTCTTAGTGCTGGCACGATATATCCGTGATGATAGACGTATCGTATTGCGAGGTCATGTATACGATACCTCTCAATCCATAAAAAGTGGGGATTTATAAAAGTTGGGAAATGGAATCACAAATTTTTCTTACTGATTTGACTGAAATTGTTGGTAACTAATTCTAAGACAGTGAACATTAACCACTCCTAGCAACTACATTATCAAATATCACAGTTAAAACAATGTAAAGATTAGAGTTTTGAATAAAATCTCGCGTGTGCCCGTACTTCCACGACAAGATTATCGCGTTACCGACAGGATTTATAATGTCAAACAAGTTCGATTATTGTCTCTGATAGTTATATAGTCTGCAAGACAGGCTTTCATCATCCAAATCAGATTCATTTCCCTTTAAATTGCATGCTCCACGCGTGCTTATCAACATGGTGAAAAATGACCGACTGGAGATGTTTTTCCTCCGCGTGTGCCCGTGCCAGCCGGCGAAACTCTTGACAGTCGACGACAAAAATCTCCGACCAAGACCGTTCCTGCGACCGCATATTTAGGTATGGTTTAAATAAATCTATAAAAGCTGTTATATTATGTCATTATCATTAATATTTTATCACAGTTATTTTAATAAAAGTTTAGGGATAAACAAATAACAGTAATATGAATATTAGCTGAGGCTGACAAACAATTGTACACGTAGATTTAGATGAACATTCATATTTTTCTGGTGGTAATTGCAGTGCCAACTATGATCAAAATAAATTGTTTTGGAACATACTCTACATGATTAAAATACTCAACCAATCAAACATTAGACAACCGTGACGAATTTTTCACAATTCCGTGATTTTTTAACAGAAAATTTCACTGAACGCAATTTAAAGAAGAATTTTATCAGATCGTTAGCGACGATTGTAGTCCAGAAAGATCTGCATGTGAATCAAATTATCATTTCACCCACGTCATTATGAATATTGCGGTGTCTTTGTCATAGCATAATAAATCCAATTCAAATCATCGGCGCTACCTATTGGTTCTCCTGTGAGCAGTTCACAATTCACATCACTTTCTGTGTTGTGAGCATTAAAGTTGATCCCCCAACACCTGGGTTGGGTCAAACAGTCCATATTACAGATTGCTGCAGTCTTTGTAAACATAAGGCTGCTAACGGTTGAAAATTGTCTTCTTTTGACAGCAGTCGATAATGAGGTTACTCTTGCTTCTGGAAAGACAAAAGGAACATCATTTTCAACCTATGTATTGTACATCTATTGAATGAGATTCAAAATAGATTTTCTAACCTTTGCATGTGTGTATCGGGGATGTATTTTGCACCGTTCATATTTCCTGACAGTTGTTTATTAATTATATTCAAGCATCTAGACAATGCCTGAGGGGAGGGGAGTAATATATGAGCATACACATTGGCCGCATAGGGATTCCCCATTCCATTTCATTTCATGGGGAAAATGCGACCAATGTGTAAACTCCCAAAAAGACCTAAACTCCCTACATTTCATAAATTCTTACAGCAAAACATCCTACATTTCATAAACATCCCACATTTCATAAATTCTTACATTAAAAAAAGACCAAAAAACACCTACAATCAATTTCCTACATTCCATCAAAAAAGTATATTAAAAATACCCTTATATAAAATAACATCCTTGTTTCGCTTAACATCCGGTTTTTTAATAGCCTCGTTTTAAGTAATGTTATTTTTAAGGGAGATAACTCTTTTTTTGGAAACACAATTTCTTCGTTAAATTAACTCATTTAAAAATAGGATGAGTTTAATTCTAAAACTCGAACATCACAGATTCGAAGATTATTCGGGCGACGGTATCTTTACTTCATTACTTTCTCTAGGTAAAACAATAATTCCAAAAGTAGCTAGCTTTGTTTCAAAAAACAAATCACTCATTTCAACCGGAGCGAAAGCCATTGGCTCAATCGCGGAAGCGGGAAAGGGTATAAGCGACACAGTGAAACAATCTAACGAGTTGAAAGAATTAGAATTAATAAGAGAACTTCGAAACAGGAGATTAGAAGAAAGGAAAGGAAAAGGTTTTAAAGTTATAGGATAAAAATAATAGTCGCTCACGCTCCAAAAACTTATTTCGGTTCAGGAGATATACAAAAGTCATTGGGTTCTCTTCCTGAATTTCCATGGGCGAAATATCCCGGAGAAAAACATCTTCCCGGTCATAATTACACCGGTCCAGGTACTAGGTTAGATCTGCGATTAGACGAAAACGATAAACTCAAACCGGGGGAAGAACCAGTCAATAGAGTTGACGCCGCCGCGCTTAAACATGATATTTTATACAGAAATAAAGACATAAACTTCAGACACGAAGCAGACAGACAAATGATAATTGAACTTGAAAATATTCCAAATCCAACTTTCAAAGAGAGAATGCAAAGAGCAATAATCATAAAACGGTTGAAAGCAAAGATGAAATTAGGCATGGGATTAGCGGATGAAATTCATCAAGAATTTAGAAAAACTAAAAACTTTTTAAAAGTTAAAGTGTTTGAAAATGATGAAATATGGTCAGCCGATTTAATTCATATGCCAGTCGAAAGAGGATTTAAATATTGCTTAACAGTTATAGATTTGTATACAAGATATGTATGGGTTATTCCTTTGAAAAACAAAATGGGATTATCAGTCAAACACGCATTTGAAACGATTATGAAACAATCTAACTGACATCCAGAAAAACTGTGGGTATATAAAGGAGGTGAATTTTATAACAATTAAATTATAACAAATAAATTATTTAAAAAGTTCACGGAATTGAAATCTCAAAAATGGCTTAAAATATTACCAGAAGTTGTAGATGAATACAATAACCAAATTCATTCATCTATAGGTGTCACACCAACACAAGCCTCGAGTAATCCAAATATTATAAAGTCAATTAACGCGCAACATAACTACGAAAATGAAATAAAGAATTTAAATATCAAACCCAAATTTAAAGTCGGAGATCGAGTTCGTATTTTCAAATATAAAAGTAAATTCGAAAAAGGTTACGTTGGATACTGGACAAACGAAATAGTCATCGTTGATAAAGTAAACAGCACATCACCTCCGACATATGAATTAATCGATCAAGACAAAGAACAAATCATAGGAAGGTTTTATCAAAATGAACTTCAAAAAACCGACTTTTAAAAATGAATGAATTTCTCGATAAATATTGAACCGATACAACCACAAACTTTCAACTTATGAGATGGGCGAATGAGTTAAATATATCACTGTTTTATTATTGTATGAGAGATGAAATAAATGATCTGAAATATAAGAAAGGTAAATTTTACGCTATAACAAATATACACACTTCCGATCAAAAAGGAGTTCCGCTTTCTATAAAGACTCTGACTTATATTTCTTCGATTCTTATGGGTTAGAACCCACTGAAGAGATAATGCAATTGACCAATCAACCAATCAAATGTTCTTCCTTTCAAATTCAATTACCAGGACAAAAGTTTTGTGGTCAGCTTTCACTTTGGGTTTTATATCAGTTGAGTTTAAGAAAACAATTCGAAGAAATTGTAATAAATTTAACTCAATAAAAATGGCGAATAAGTTTAAATTAGGTTCTTTATCTTTAGAAACCAAAAAACCTAACACTACAGCGTGGATAAATAAAGCGAAACCTTACTTTGTGGATCAAATTGGAGACACTCTTCAAGGTGATTTAGATATGAACAATTTTAGCATAACTAATTTAAAGTCTCCGGAAAACGATAATGACGCTGTTCAAATGACGGGATCAAATAAATTCAATTGAAGTAAATAAAAACCATTTAGAAAATAAAATGTGAAAAGATTCTTCAAACGTCAACTAAATAATAAAATTTTTATTAATGATACTAAACTACAACAAGAGGTAAAAGGTTTAATAAGTTTTATTCAAAAAGAATTGGTCAACGTAGCGAACAAAACTGAGTTACAAAATTTAATTTCATTAATATCTAAATTAGAGGATAAGATTGCAAAACAAAAATTAGACATTCAACAATTGATAGATAACATTCAAGATGAAAATGAAGATACGTTTCAACAGGAATTAAATGTTCTGGAAACTAAACTTAACAGTGAATTACAAAAAGAACTAACAAATATTAAACAACAAATACAAAACATAGACGAAATCAAAACCTATATTCATCAACAAATACAGAAAATTGATGATAGTGTTATTCAACAACAGATAACCACTATTAATAACCTAGTTTTAAAACAAGACAAAAATATAGTCGCATTAGAAAAAAAGTTTCTCAAGAAAGAATCATATTATTTCAATCTTCCATTTAGAAATTTGAGAGATTACATTACTTCTATTACTTATTATATAATTTTGATAGTGTGACTATGAATATAAAAAATAAGGAATTACAGGAAATATTAGAGTATATTCTGTTACAGATGTTAATGATATTTTCCCCAAAAATATTTTTGATAATGATGTTGATTTTTATTCATTAAAATAAAATTGATAAAAGTTGATTCAATATTCTTCAAACAAATCTCATATTCATCTAAACGTCAATTTTACGCTCGTAAAGTTCTTCAGTTTATCAATGGTACAAAATATGTAGAAACTAAAGAATTAGAAATTAACGACGAAAACACCAAGGTTGATCACTTATATGAAATTAAAACGAGTGGAAAATATATAGATAGGTTTAGAATGTTAATCATATCAGATAATAAAAAAAGAAATTATGGATTTTCATTGAGTAATTTTGATATGATATTGGAAACGGAAACTCCACCATCAATGAATATTATTAGAAATCCAGAACCACAAACAAAAGATATAAGCAGTTATCAGTTTTTACGAACGACAGACTTTGAATATGTAAAACTATATTTTGTTAATACTAATTTATTTACCTCAATTGATATTCATAAAAGCCAACAAGATAAAAAATTTATAATATTTTCATCAATAATTGTGAAAAAGTTAGTGGTATATATACTTATACATGTATGATAAAAATCAATATAGAAAAACCAAAATTTCCAGTTCATCTGAATAAGATTAATGATTCGAAAGAACAAATATCGTTAGTAAATGTAGAAGTCACTATTCCTAAATCTATAGTAATTTATCCTGGCGAAGTGTTTGAGATAGATTTTTAGATAAAAATTGTCCATTTTTTGGTTTATCAGAAATTCATTTAATTTAATTACCTAAAAAATGGAACTCGAAAGTAGACAACAATATATGATAGAAAAACAAAACGAACTAAAAGAAAAACAATTCAACAAATACAGAAAAACATGGAATAGAATCGATTCTGTTTTCAAAACATTAATTACTGTTTTAACAGTAGGGATAACGGTGGCAACAGCCGTAACAGGTGGATTAATGCTTCCAATAATTGTCCCAACTGTATTGGCCGCGTTCACTGCCATTCAAACTTCATCTTGTGTTTGGTTACTTTAGGTTTTACATCAAAACAGAAAGCTCATTATAAAAGGAAAACAGAAATTTTAAATACATATCTTAATAAATTATTCATTTTTCGAAAGATCGAGAGAAGACAAGAACATAACAGTTGAAGAATTAGAAAAATTCAATGAAATTTTAGATAAATTTGATGTAGAAATATCATCAATAAAAGTTAAAAATTCCTAATTAAAAATTAAAAATAGATACTTAAAAAAAGAAAATGGATAAAATTGAAAATTTAAACCTCTATCTAAAACAATTTTTTCAAAGATATTCAAGGCAATACCTAATTTATTTTCGCGTAAATTTGACGAAGAAGATGAAGAATAATTTAAATATCTAGTTGATAGGACAGCCGAAAAATTTTAAGAAGAGGAGAATGAAATTCAAATATCAACCACAAATATGCTTTTTCAGAATTAATCAAGAGAATAACTATTCTATTTAAGGATTTTAAAATTAAAGGTCAAATTGAAATAAATGGTCAAATATATGAAGTGGGGAAATATAGACAAGACATGAGATTATCTGGATTCAATGCTCAAACTTTCCAGTTATTTATTCAAAGATGCATGATAAATCTGACGCATCTGATTGTTATTTTACAGGAGAGATTATTTTCCGCAAAAATAATTTTAGAATAGTAAAAAGATCTAAAACTGGCAGAGGTGGTAATTTACTTAAAAAGATAAATGAATACAAAGGCGAAAATTGTTTCATACCAAGCGATGGTAATTGTTTTATAAAATGTGTAAATCACTTCATGAATAAAGACTTAACAAATGAATTTCAAGATTTCGTCAATAGTTTTCAAAAATCAAACAGAAAAGGAGTTATGACATCTGCTAGAATCTCTGAATTCAATAAGAAATTTAATACTTATTTTCAAATTTATATGCCCAAACATAGACATTTTCAACCAAAGAAAGTATCCGAAGAATTAGATTGGGTATTTTATTTACACAAAGAACATTTCTGTTTGATAAGAAGAAATAACAAAACCTTAGGCATTAAAGAAATAGAAAATATTTACGATGAAAATGTATGGAGAACCTGTGGGGATGATGATGCACTAACATGTTTTGCTCAGTTAAAACTAAACGTGATTTCACAACCTCATGATGATACTTTATACGCATGGGATTGCGAAACCTATAGCGAAAATAAAGCCATTCCTTATTGTTGTACTTTAGTCAATTTGGAAAAACTAAGGAAAAAACTAGAACTAATTAAAAGAGTATTCCCAGATTTAAAGCCAACTGATCCCATTCCAGAAGAATTTTACAACAAACTCATGACTAATATAGTAGAAATATTTGTAGGAACAGATTGTTTCGATCAGATAATGCGTCGTTTAGGTACAGTAGATGAAAAAAGATTAACCTTAATTTCCCATAACAGGAGTGGTTTTGACAACTGGATTGCACTTCAAAGCATTAATAAACTAACACAATGTCCACTAGTAACAGATAATAAAATTCTATCTCTTCCTTTATCTAATCCATATACAGAAGAAAGATTGCAGAAAAAATGGAAAAGAGAGAAAGGAGAGATAAAAATATCTGATAAAAATAAATATTTACAAAATATGTCCTCACTTGTTCCTATCAACATGAAAAATCTAGTTTGGCGGCATGGGGAAATTCGTCTAATCTACCGATGAATTTGAGAAAGATTGCCGATATCAATATTACAAAATACACCAAAGATAATTGGGAATCTTTAAGACATGAATGGTAACCTTACGCTAAAAGAGATACGTTATGTCTCGGAGCTTGTTTGATAAAATACAATCAAGCAATGAAAGAAATTGTCTTCCAAAACGTTTCAAATAATCTAACGGCTCCTTCTTTATCTTTAAAGGGTTGGTATTATTTATATCATTACGATAAAGAAATGGTTAAAGAAGAATGGTACGAAAGTACCAGAATGGTCCCGAAACACACCGAAAAAGAAAACGTATAAAAAGTTTACTCGCTTACTCACCCTTTTATAAGATATTTTATCAGACAAAGTATTAAAGGAGGAAGAATCATTTGAAACGAACAAAATGGATGAAATTTGTGCTATTTTAAAGGAGTATTTAGAACATAATAGATTTATTTAAAGAATACAGCGCTAGCACGAAAGATAAAACGGAAGTTCATTCGAGACTTAAAAGAATAAAATGTACTAAACTGATGGCATTTGACACTAACGGTTTGTACGCTTCCGCTATGGCAGAAGGTGAATATCCAAAAGCTGAAAGTGCAAGATCGTTTCTACCAAAAGAAAATAAAGAATTTGTTAAGCTCTTTAATGAACAGAAATTCAGACCTAGAACTGCTATTTTAAAAGTTTGGTTTGAATATCCCAAAAACATGTTCTTCCAACACATACCAGCTAAAGATAAAATCACTTTTATGAACAAAGAAGGTAGGAGGAAACTGGCACAGATTCAGAAATGGTTTCTGTTCAGATGTTTTAACATCGGTGGATATTCAAGAAATAGTGAAAGCCGGTGGACGAATTATTAAAATATTAGATGGTATAGTTTACGAAGAAAATTTTAAAACTCCACCCTATAGAGACTAAATTTTAATTTTGAAGGAATTAAGGAATAAATATAAAAAGGAAGGAGATTTGGTTGCCAGTAACTGCATGAAGTTGTTAGGTAATTCCTTATATGGTAAATCTATTCAGAGGGATAGAAATACCTCATTGCATTTATGGAATGAAGAAACCTTCCGCCTTAATTACGACAAACACGTCAAGAAGTAAGACAAACTAAATGAGACTCAATACATCGTTGAGATTAATGACGAAGAAAAAGAGTTTGTTCCTCCTAAGGATTTTACGAGATTAACACCCACTCATTTAGGTGCATTTATATTATTTCACAGTAAAAAAATAATGAATAATTTTATTCACGTAATAGATGGTTTTTATAAACAAGAAATATACTATACGGATACCGATAGTTTATACATTTCGTCTAGCAATTGGGATAAATTAAATGAAGCTGGGTTGGTGTCCGAAAATGAATATTGCAAAGGAAAGAATGATTACGGTGATGGCGCCAAAAGTTAAATACAATATCATTCTAACTTCCGACGGTATTCTAAAAGAAAAGAAAACGTTTAAGGGTTACTCTAACTATAAGATTAAGGTAGGGGATTATATTCAATTAGCTAGTGGACATGATGTAACGAATGAATTTGATAAACCATGGGGGGAGAGTTTTACTGATGGAATAGTTATTCCTAATGAAAAACAAACTAAAAATTTTTAGAAGTTATCTGAATCTCATAAAGAGAAAAGCACCGGACGATGAAGGAATCATGCATCCTTACAGTGATAAAGAGGAGATGTGCTTGGATGAAAACTACGAATTTGATGATTTCGATTACCTTACTATTCAAGAAGAGTGTTAATTTTTTTGTTTTAAATGAAGTTGAATAACAATTTCCTCGTTACCAAAATCTATAAACCTATTTTTACCATCTTTAATTTCCAAATTTATATCTTAAATCATAAAGGAATTAAGTGGTAAATACGTCGTTTGAAATGGTTTCTCTATAATTCTATATCCTATCGGTATGAATGTTGGAAGACTGTAAATAATCTGACGTTTGTATTTATTGAAAAATCCACCGTTTATCAGTATTGGGTGTATACTCGTTTATCAAATCCTAGTAACGTATTCAATTAATTTTGTACGTTGAAATCAACTTGACTATTATTTATTTTTATTTATCAATTTTATTTTGTTCAGATTCAAATTACCTTCGAATTCAATATTGTTTTTACCATTGACACTTCGAACAGTTTTGAACGTAACTCCATTATCTGTTGATATTTTTATTTGATTCTTATTTCGTTGATATTTCTAATGGAATTGTAAACTGAGAAATACTTTAATCCCAATTCATATTCTTGATTGCGATCGAGTTCATACTCATAATCTAGAGACAATTTAATGTCTGATTTATTTGAGGTGATGACGAATAGTTCTTCTTTATTTGACATTTTTAATCACGCTTTTATAATCATTTTTATCTATGAGTCTTTTTAATATACAATTTACTTCATTATATTGTCTGTGTTATCGATGTCCTTCCTTCATCGCCGCTAACATTACTCGTAATCTATTAAGCAATTCTTAATTATTATCGGATAAAAACGTCATACCTTGTCCAGATGCCACCATGTCTTCGAAATCTTGTATGATTGGTGGATTGTCTTCAGTATAATCACCCACTTCGTCAACTTCGTATTTATCTTTATGTTCAATTAGTCTTATATATAGTTTAACTTCTTTCGATCTATTTGTTTCGGGTCCCGACTTTCTTATTTCTTCTAGAAATTTTGAGTATGCTACTAGATCCTTATAATCGGCAATACCAGCATCCTCCCCATTCATTAAATCTATTAACCCTTCTGTTGTTGTAAATGTAAAGTCTTTTCCATCGATTTTGAATAAAGGGTAAAATTTTTCAAATTTTATTCTATGTCCATTAAACAAAAACCCATCATAATCAACAATTGGTGAAATGCTCTTTGGGAAATCTGGGTTAGGGTTTGAAAAATAATGATTTATATCATCTAATGACCTAATTATAATATCATCATATTCAATGGGATATTCTATTTGATGAGGAGAAGGAAACGGTAGTTGTTGAATTTGTTTAGGTTCTAATTTCTTTTTAATGTCCTCTTGAGATTTTAATATGGGTTGAAATAGAGTTTGTAGATTTTCCGTTAATCCGAGTTTTTGTAATCTGTTATTTTCAACTTGGGTCTTTATTTTACTCTTAGCTTTGATATATTCTTTATTTCTTTTTAAAATATTATTCCAATTACTCATTTTTAAAAAATAAAATTCAACAAATGTCTGTCATAACTCTTTCACCTGCAGGTTTTCTAGTATTAACGAATATATATCCATGATCATTTGGGTTTTTCCATTGAGCTTTACAAACCTTTTTAAATGCATCTCTGTCCATTCCGTGATTTATCGACTGAATGATTTGAGATAAATCTTTATCGTTTAATTCAAATAATAAAAAAACAATTTGCAATTTTTCTAATAAACATAGAATCCATCCCGTAAATAGATGGGGATTGGTATATGCAGTGACAGTTGTCCCTTCGTGAAGAATTCTTGTTGAACAGCTTGATTTCTTTGCACTACGCAGTCGTCAAACAATATTAAGTTCTTTCGTTTGCTATCATTAGACAAGTCTAGATCATAAACATTTTTCGTAAGAAAAACTTTTATATCCGTTGGATTCTTTCCTTCGATGTAGTTATCTAAGATATCTTTTATTTCCACTTCTTCGTTTTCTTCGTAATATTGAAATAGGTCTTGAACATCTTTCTTTGGTAAATATTCTAAAGCTTTGAGAAATTGATAATACGATTGCTCTGGTGTTGTTGTGTAGATATACAAAAAATCGAAATCTAAAAGGTTTGGTGTTGTCAACATGGTAAAAGTGAGATGAGTTTTCCCAGTACCGGAACTACCGCATATACACATGAGCATATGGATATTAGGAAATATTTCTGAAAATTTTTTGCCCATTTTTTATTATGTTAATTTGTTCAAAAAATCAATCCTTCTCCTTTATACTTTGAAAGATATTTTCCTTCTCCAGTGTGTATGTTTTTTATAAATATTCCATTACCCTTATGTTTGACTTTGATTTCTCCCGTATCAATACTATCTACTAATTTATTTAATCCTTGTTTAACAGTTTTCTTGGTTTCTTCACTAAATCTTTTTCCAAATTCTTTCATTGTGCCTATCACATCTCCCACTCCTGAACCTTTCTTTTCTGTTTTAGGTTTTTTAACCTCTGCTGCCAACTTTTCCATTTTTAAATTATGTCTATGTTCTTCGGCTGCTTTCTTTTCTTCGGCAGCTTTTGTAGCAGCAGCTTCTGCAACAGCAGCTTTCTTTTCGTTGACAACGCTTACTCCACCACTGTAGTCGCCGCGGTAATACCAGCAAATATTAAAGGTAGGGAAAATATAAATCCACCTTTGTTACATTTGTATCAATTCTTTCTAAATCTATATCGTCTCTGACTTTACAATATTTGTATTTATCAATAAGTTTTTTAGTTATGCTGATTTTTTTACCGTTGAAAGTTATTACAGTTGGGGAATCTGTTTCAACAGCGTCCATTATTTTCATAACTAAAGTTTCTACTTTCATTTTTTACTCAATTCTTATCATTCTTCTATCTGCTATTTTAATTAAATGTTTTGCTTCTTCCAATAATAAACAATAACCTGTTACATCTCCTTGTGTTTTTTCAATATGAATATTTATGTTCACTCCTGTTTTGAAAAGATCTTCTTGGTGAGCTGATAGATCAAAAAAGAAGATTGGATGATTAAGTGCAAAATCTACATATTCAAACTGAGGTAGATTTCCAAATAATTCACACATATTTTTTTAGTTTCTATACAATTCATTATAATCCTTTGTGGTTGGATTAATTGTTAAAGGTTGGTTAGGATAATTATCGTTGTTTAATCTTACTTGAACTTTATGGATTAAAGGATCTTGAGTTTGGTTCATTGCCACTCTGAAGACATTATAGTGTTAGTGATTGACCACGTGGTGGATTCTCCCGTTAAAGTCATGCTACCTACCGTGTTACGATGAAGAAAAGCTATTTCAATATCTTTAGTTAATGAGTTGAATATTCTCGTTTCTACTTCAATTGATGGTGTTATTACGGGTATGAAAAGTTGGAGATTCGTTATTTCTAATTTTGCATCTGAACCATTCTCTCCAAAGAATATCTTATCATCGTTGATTTCTCTTTGAATTGTATATGGTAACCCTATGGAAACCTTTCTATGCTCCAACAGACCGAATAAAGGATATAATTTCCAATTTACGTAATTACCCCACCTATTATTCTCAACAATATTATTGTACTGAAGTACTCGTTTTTCGAATCCATGATTAGCTGCTCGTGCTACTCTTTCTATTGTGTTCCGAGCAACAACTCTCACTCTAGCTAAATCAGCATCATTTTTAAAACACTTCCATCCCCAACATCGGGTATCCAACCCGAGACTGAATCGAAATCTTTAGGATATAAAACTGTTTTCAACATTGTGTCGATTTCCCCAGGGTGTTTAATTGTTTCTATCGGATTTGAACCAGCTTCCAAAACCATCTCGCTAAATAAAGATGGAAAGAAATTGTTTTCTAACGTTGTATTAGTTTGTGGAACTTGATTCTGAGTTCCATCTTTAATTTTGAAATCGCATCTGAAATAAGCATCGGAAAGAAGCAACCAATTCGATAATGAATTTATTTCGAAGGTAATTCTATTGGGATTTGGAACCAACAGTGGGTGAGATGATAATATAATCCTTTTTTTTTTCTTGTTAAACGAATAACGAATCGGATCGTATAATCTAAAGATTGGATCTAGTATTTTATTTGCCATTTTTAAGGTTTAAAATTTGAGTAGAAAATTTCCAAAAAAAGAGTTATCTCCCTTCTACATTATTTTAAAACCAGATGTTATTTTATATAAGGGTATTTTTAATATGCTTTTTTGATGGAATGTAGGAAATTGATTGAAGGTGTTTTTGGTCTTTTTTAATGTAAGAATTTATGAAATGTAGGATGTTTTATGAAATGTAGGATGTTTTGCTGTAAGAATTTATGAAATGTAGGGAGTTTAGGTCTTTTTGGGAGTTTACACATTGGTCGCATTTTCCCCATGAAATGAAATGGAATGGAGAATCCCTATGCGACCAATGTGTAAGCTCATATACTACTGAGGGCGACAAAATGAGAGGTGTCTCTCCAAGGTGAGGCCCAATGTCCGCCCCCTTCAGTACGGTACTGTATTCAAATCAACCTCCGATAATGGCGAGCGATGGCCTTTATATAACGTCCTTTTTTACGGCTATGTTTCCTGCAACTGCACTGACCAAACCCTATACTTATAACCAGATTATGTCGCCACCTGGGCATGTATACCATTTGTAGCTTCGCTTCAAAATGTTATATTACCTCGACAAAGATATTGCTGGTTATTTTCTCCGCAACATATAATATCACTCGTTGTATAACCTGTAATAACAAAATAACATTAGTCATGTACTTGTCGCCTGTGGATCCATTTGCTGCCCGTGATCAGAGTATTTGGTATTTTTAAACCAATGAGACGTGATGTTGATATCATATTTTAAATGACAGCCTCCACCATTTTATATCGATCACATGTTCGACGGAAATGGCCACCAAGTTCTTTCCATCGATTAGGCTTCGATGTGGACTTTATAGAGGAGAAAAATGTAGCGAAGTTGTCAATAATTTCAGTCCGATGATGACATTGTTAGCATCACCTTTATCACCATTGTGTCGCTCTTTGATCGAGGAAATTTGGTCACAATGAATTCGGTCATCTTAAATGAAGTCAAACGGAAAATTGATTGAGACAAAGTGGCCATAGTTATTTGATCACAGAATTTGGATCAGACTGATTTTGCAACATTAGAGTATAATGGACACTTTCGCCATTTTTGGATATTGATTGGGGTCTTGAATGTATGCAAATAGTCTTCAGAAGTACTAGAAAATGTACCATAATCGCACAATTCCTTCAAAAAGAAAAAAACAATTGGAATTCCACTTCCTATGAATATTTTTTCTATATATAAGCCTCTAGGAAAGACGGGTCTTTTTAACCGGATATCTCTGCACACGCCTGGATTTGAAGGCTCAAATTTCGATGGTGAGCTGTGAACACTGTTACTGATTGGCTTAGCTTAAAAAAATTCTCGTTTCGGAGATTTAAGTACGTTTGGTCATAAAATAGCTAACTCGTGTCTTTAAGACTAATATTGTTGATTTAATTTATCAATAATAAAATGAAACTAATAAAACATAATTAAACTAATGGTTATTTTAGTTTATGATAAGACGAACTTAATACATTAAATACGAGAAAGTTATTTGTGATGTAACTAATGTTTTTGTCTTTCTAGGAATAAAATCAATATTTTTGTCTGACATTTGCTTTGAAAAAAAACATTAAAAATAAATTTGAAAAAAAAAAATTCAAAATTGATTTGTCATGTTATAATGGCCCCGACGCTGCTACCGCGACGGAAAATTGGTTCAGAGCGTGTTAAAGGGTTTGTAAAGAGGTTTTCTAAATTTTTTATGTGTATCAATTTGTGCTAATCCAATTTACAATCAGACGTCTGTGTTTCAAGCAATTCTAAAAAAAACTAAGTATTTTATGAAGTAACCCCCGCAAAGGTCTTGTTTGATACAAGCAAATTTTGCGGGGGTAAAACTTAGGTTTAGTGGAGTGACAGAAACCAAGGACATCTGATTGGAAATTGGAATGGTACAAATCGATGCTCTTAGTATCCCCCATTAGCATAAAAAAGCGGACCTTAACGTCATCTACCAACCAACTAACTGGAAATAAAATATTGGCATGCTAAAATTATGGATTAATTAAAATTTACACTATAGTACGAAACTATTGAATTTAGAGGACATTATGTGATATCAATAACATTTTTGTATTTTCACAAACGAAAAAATCAAAACAATTAAATTATTCATAATATTAACAAATTACAAATTGTTGCGCTCCCAATGTCTTCAGACATTCTCGATTGAGTGGCGATTTTAACGGTGATTATTGGCAACAATGGCGCCCACCGTACGATATCTGACGCTTCTTACACACCTCTGATCTAATTTTCCACCGCCATAGCAGCTCAGTAAGGACGCTTTTCAGGCTACCAAGCATGCAGGTAAAATCTTCATATGACTATACAAACTACACTGTGCAGAATTGAACCAGGCGATCAATAAAATAAATTACAGTTTAAAATCCCGCTGTTCTGTCACAATTTGAGCTTAGAATTATAGAAAGACTGAACTGGAATCGTGTATATGTCTACTCTTTTCAAATCCGAACAACAGTCAAGAGGTTTTCCACGTACATGGACCGTAGTGTATTACACGGAGCATGGGTTTATTAGCCGAGTTTACACTGCCATAAAATGGGCCCGTTCGAAGTGAAACGTACTCGGACCGGATAATTTTTGGCTACTGTGTCATCTGAACTATATGCTTTGTCCGTGTCAGTCCCCCCGACCTGCATCACCAACACCCGGAGATCGGGTACATCACAGAATGCCTTATCGTCAAGATTTCAAGACTTCTATAATGCCACAGGAAGCTGAATGTTTATTTTCCTCTGTCATTATCGTATCCGATTCACTTCTCAATTAAATATTATTTCTATAAGGTAATATTATAGTCAGGTTCCATTAACCAAACCACTTTTGTTGTTTACTTTTCCGACAAAATCAGACATAGCTTTTAGACATTTTCATGCAGTTGTTTCAAATGTGTCTATTTTAAAAGCTCGATTTTACAATTTTGCAATCGTATGATTCTATTTTCCTTTTCGTTACCAATGATTTTATAAGGACAAACACTTTGAAGATGAAAATAATGCTTACATCCTGCTGTTTTGAACTTCATTGAGCTGATGAAGACAAGAAACACCGTGCAGTGTGCATTGAGGAAAATTTTGCCAGGACAGCGATATTTACCATCTCGGTTTAATGTCCCATCCCAACAACAAGACACATTTTCCAAGTCAACCCCTCTTACCGGCATCACTGACAGGGGAAAACCGGATTGACAAAGCTGAAGATATTACCTCGACCTATGCCAGGATTGAACCCAGGACCTTCCGGTAAGCTAGCACGCTCACTGAGCCACACCGTCTCCATTAGCCCAAATGGTACATTTTCATTTCGCTTTTGATATTTTGCTGGTAGCTGCTTTTCCGATGGAATTCAATGCATTTTCAAAGATTTCAATTTCCATTAAAAATTCCAGATTGTCGTCATTTAAGTGCTATCGAGTTTTGCTGTTTATTTTCACATCCGTTGTAACTTTAATAGCTTAGTAATAGCTTAATATAATATGCTTTAAAATTAGATCTTTATCTCTCATGATCAATATTTTTTTTCATGATTTCCCACGATACCATGCCTTTACTAATTTTCAGACAAATATGAAGTCAATAATTGAAGTCATGTATTGTGGAAAAAAATCTTGGAACCAGAAATGTACTAGGTCGCAGTCAAACTTGAGAAAAATTGGTGAACAAAATTACAAACTTAAAAATAGTCGACCTCATCTCGCAAGTTATCCGACTATATTGTCAGGCGTGTACTGTGTTTTAATACCGCTCTAGGAGGTGTCAGAATGCTTACATGACGATCTTCTCGATCCCTTGGCGTTCTCAACTCGTTCCTGGACTGATCGCCGAACCTTGGCGTTTGTTTTGAGCATGTCCAATATAAAAGCCGGTTCTCGACAATAATACGATGTCTGGCGTGTCCTACACGTTTATGGCGACCTTAACATGCTCTGGGCCAATTTTCTGTCGCAGTAGCAGCGCATTAAGAACGTCTTTCTCGTGTGAGGGGGCACGATTGTATGACTTTATACTAGGTTCCCATAACTGTGTTATAAGTTTCCAGTCATTCGTAGCTGATCATAAAATTTCTCTAAGATATCAGGTTTGCATTTGCGTCTTCTAAGATTATTCCAGATCTACACGATCATTCCAGATCTACACGACCCGGAAGCACGATAAGGAGCAACATGAACGCAATACACGCAAATTAAAAAATAAATTGATTACAGCAACCCTCTGCATTAAAGGACAATATTCCAAAAATTTAGTTATGAAAATCTTTTTTTGGTAAATACGTTAAACTTTATCAAAAGAAACTTGAAAGAATACTGTAAAATGAACAAAATGTAAACATGATTGTTCCATTCAAAACTTCCAGACGTAGCGCTAATGATAGATCTTTTGGTAAAAGTTGGAAATCCGAGAAGGCTTACACCGTTGATCTGACCAATTTTTCTCATTGCACACTGCATGACGTTTATTGCGTAAAACTGCATAACGCTGCACTCTACACTAGGTACTTACCTGCTGGCGCTAAACAATCTCTATTTTTTACATCATTGTAATATATCATACCTGTAAAATATTACATATCAAGGAGATAGTTGCACTATTTTGGGTGCTTTAAACACTCTTCAAAAGTACAAGGAATGTAAGAAAATCGCATAATTCCTTTAAAAATAATTAAAACTATGAATTTCACTCACGATTTCTATATATGATAGACAGTAGTCATTTTAACGTCCAAACGCGGATAATTCTGGACAGACGTTGATTTGAACACTATTACCGATTGGCGTAGCCCAAAAAATCCCGTTTCTGAGTTTAAGGTACGATTGACCCAAAAAATAGCGCACTGTAGATGTTACATCTACCAGATGAACAAAGACAACGTAAGGTGGGTTGCTTGGCACGCATCTGGTATTGTGACTGCACCAGTCACAGCTTACACTGCAACCATTCCGAACATTAAGTTGTCACACAACCTTTCAGAAAAAACGGTTCTGGACGTATAGTAATGGCGGTGGTAGTACTTCGCTTAAAAGTAACGGGGGTTAACGTGTTACCAACCAAAAATAGTTCAATGACCTACAAGGGACAGGTTTACAATCAATTTGACACACCGTACCTTCGTCTTCTCAGAAACGGGATTTTTTTTTAGATAAGCTTATCTGTAACAATATTCACAAGAACTCATCGTCGAGCCTTCAAATCCATGCCTGTCCGGAATTATCCACGTTTGAAAGTTCAAATAACGACTCCTCTTTTTCTTGAAACTCTGCCATAATATATAGAAAATAGAGGAATAAAAAGTGAAATCCTAGTTTGAGAACTCAAATCAAGCCACCAAAATGTCGAATATGTTCATTTCGGCGATCTTTGAAAACTTTAGCTCTGGACATACAAGTATATACAAAATCTTACAAAAAACTAATTTTATAAGATAATGAAGAAAATACTTTGTTTCTCCAGAATGTTCTTGGCTAATCAATTGTGTATCTGTTTGCGTTTATTGATAATTTCCATTATTAATAAGGAAACGTTTAGAATAAATTTAGTAACAATATTTGACTACTTTTTGTAATGGGGATATTGATTGCGATCAGTCAATTTAAACCTGTACCGAGTTCAATCTGCGAAACGTTACGTTAAATTTTGCTGTTTTCTGTCATATCAGTTGGTAAAATTCTTTAAACACAACTAACTTATTTTTATACATTTTTGTCCTCAAATGTGTGTCAGAATGCACCAGAGCATGACCATCCGTCAGTCAACCAAAGCATGACATGACACGACCAGTAGGAATCAATAAAACGTTTCGTAACCTTTTGATAATTGAACTTGGGGAGGTTCTAATTGCAATGTCTTTAGAGCATCGATTACACTTACACTGTAATTTCGAGTGTCTGGCTCTGATATATTAATCAGTAGATATACCTGGTGTTATAAATAACCGATGAATATATACCCATATAGACCATTCTTGAGAACTTTTATGTTCATTCTAAGACGTATTATCACTTTAAGTGAGCACTGAATACTGATGATGTACCTTACCCGATTCTCCATTGCGTATACAACATACTTCTTCATCAACCTCCCCATTACAATTATTGTCAAGTCCATCTCCAGGAGACGTTGATGATTCTTCACATGGCTGCAATTAAAATTTGAACTGTCTTCAATCCGTACAAGCAAGACAATTCCCCTTTATGAAAATCCTGCCCAAAGTATGACAAAATCGAGAGTGAAAGTAGTACATGTGTAATAGTGGATACCATCAGGTGAAAAGAGTAATCGTGGTCTGATACAATCAGATCGATTTTTATCAGATCAATTTTTGCAAGATTTGGAAAAGAAGACAGCTTTATTGGAAAAGAAGACTGTTTTTTTGGAAAAGATGAATAACTGTCCTCAGAAACCCATACACATCACTGAATATAGTTATATACTAGATATTCAAACAATTGCTCAGTAACGTTAAACCCTCTTGTTAGTCTTGTATTTAATGTTTTTATGAAAAATTTTCCCACTACAGGAAGGAGGGATGTACCTCTAAAGTTTTCAGGGGAGTCTCTCGGACCCTATTTATGCACCGGGCAGATAATGGCATTGTTCCAGTCCGCCGGAAAGGGATACGAATAGTAAAAAAAAGGTCTGCAGTTCAGAAAAATATACAATGTCATATTAGTACACTCACCTTTGGTGAAGATGTTACGTAATAGCCTAAAGGTAAAGCATAAGCCTCACATGTTTCACCGGCCTGAAGATATGCCAAAAAAGCCACTCCATCAGGATGGTGTATGTGATGAGATACCAAATCGATTTGGTTAATCTCCACCATACCCACAACTAAACTTGGTTTACCAGTAACTGGGTACCATTGGGTTGTGAAGGGAGCCCCATCCAAGTGAAGTGTAGTCGAGGAACTCTCGTCAATGACGATCGTTATAAAGACACGATATGTAGTATATTTCATGGAGGAGAAAATATAGCTACTTCTCTTTGCTTGTAGTGGTGTCAGAATCATCAAAGACGGGTCTCCAAACCGTGCCGAATGGTTGAAATATGACGACGACATTTGAGTAACATAGATAGGCTTGCTTGCATGGACGAAGTTATATACGAAAGCACTCACGAAGAGATCATAGAAGTCACCATCTCGATCAAGAGTGATTGTTTGTGTTCCTCCGATTGTCACTGTCGTGTTAACTGATGTAGAAATAATACGGTACATATCATCTCTGTAGAACGCTCCGATGTCAGGGTAAGATACCGTGACATACTCAGTTGATACGCTTCCTAGAGGCGGAAGAACGTCCATCATATGACTCTTGCACGTTTTGTGTAAAACAGTGGTCCTATTTTGTCCTGAGATTGTGAAAACTGGACGATTTGATGTTATATGTGATCCTGTTAAATCAGCTGAGATCTGCAGCTGAAATACTTCTTTTGCGGATAATTGAATAGTTACTGTTTCGCCGCTACCATAATATCTACCTTCAAAGTGCAGTTCAATATCGGACTGAAATATCGGCAACCGGATCGTAACCGTTGTGTCGTCTTCCCAAGCTACGACCACTAAGTAAGAGGCTGAACCATCCATTGTTACCTCATAATTGACAGAATAAAATTCGGTTCCGAAGATGTCTACTGGCAAAGCTAAATAAGCATCTCCGTTGGAGTTGTGTTTGTTGAAAACTTGAACTATGATATCCTCTGAGCTCCAAATTGTCATGGATTTGTTCTCTTTCAGATTTCCAACTGACATTCTCAAAGTGTTGGACACTTTCATTTCATATCTTTCCTTAGGCGATAGCGTAAATTGTACACTCGAGGGTTCGGCGAAGTCCGGAGGAGCGTTGAAGGTTAAAATCACAGTCAGATTTGAATCGACGACAGACGTTATAAGAATATCCATGTCGTGGGTACCACTTCCTAAATTTTGTGGGAAAGCCAAAAGGAATTCCTTTCCTGGATTCGAACACACAGCTGAAAAATAAATATGAAATGGAAGTGGCAAGCTCTCCTTCCTTTTCTGCAAGTGATTCTCTTGACGACGGGTACAAAGACATAAAACCGACTTCTAATTAACAATAAAAAAAAATGTGTATATCTCTTACGGTGTATGTTCCGGCCCATTATATTCCCCCTTTACGCCCAGTCGAATTCAAGAATTTTGTAAACGAATGAGAACAAATCATTTGATGATTTTAAAAAAAAAACCCTAACTTACCAGGGATGAAAAAGACCAAGCACAGAAACACAACTTGTACGTGACATTCCATTTTACCGAAGATCATTTCATTAATGAATTAAGAAACTGCTTCCCTTCTGAAAAAAGTAAATCAATTCTTGCGTCATGTAATTATTGCATATATTGAAGCCGGTAGGGTTAAGGTAAATATTATGCTATGTATTGAGTGTCAATCGAGTTTCCAATATTGTCGTATTTTTTTTTTTATCTTGAGAAACGTTAATGAGTATATTACTCGTCCTTATTATAAGCCCACATGAAATGGGGGGCGTATATTGTCGTCACCCATGTCTGTCCGTCCACAATTGCTCGTAAACACTCTACAAGACACAATTCTTGACGGATTTTGACAAAACTTGGTATGGATGTTCGTAATCACCCAAGGATGAACCCTATCGAAAATCAGAATAATCGAAAAATATTTAGTAAAAGTTAGTTGTTCTTGAAAACGCTTTCAAATTTAGCTCTAAAACACTAAAAGGCATGATTGAATATTTGCCTTTTAGAGTGTTCACTAGCTAAAAATTGAACACGTTTTCAAGAACAAGGGCAATAACGCATGCTTAAAATTATTCAGTATCGCCCTAAAGAGTTCAAAAGAAGTGTATGACTGAAGGTTGAATATTTCATACTGGTGATTGTTACTGTACTGCTAAATATTTTTATTCAAAATCAAAGCTGCCAATGGGCGTATATTACATTGCCTGGCAAGCTATCTTTTATGTATATTCTTGGTATAAATGTTCATAGAAGAATTCAGTTAGAAATCAGTTATACCAGCTGATAGAATTTAAATCTGAAAAATGATAAAGAAAGCATAACATCCGGTTTCCCTTGAACGTAACGCATAAAATACGACTTTCTCGAGTGCAGTTTCAACCGATGCCGTATTATAATCAAGAATAACTACACATGAGATTGTTAATTACACTCGTGAAGTGACGAGAAACCTAAACTGGCGCGATATGCATGTGTTTCCATGTAACACAACCTCGCGTCTGATTAAACTATCGACTAAAGAATCTTCCTTAGAAATGACAATGTGCATAACTAAGCTTTATGGAACAACAATCACTGGTTATGTTTCGATATGTTTTTCTGTCTTTCAAAGAGATGTACATTAATACAAGAGTATACAGTTTTGCATTGGTACATAAAAACATTACACGATTCTTAAAATAATATACAATTGATGATATATACTAAAATGACTAGACAATATGTTGAACTAATTAAGATTAATCAATGATTTAATAAACAACTATTGCTAATATTGAAAACTTGAAAGAGAAGTTCTTTCATTCTTCTAAGCTGTATTTTGCTGGCAGACCAACCCCATTCAATCTTTGTTCAAGCTATTTAATTATAGGGGCAAGTGAGCCATTTTATTTGACCAATCATAGCTAATCCAATCAATAATATTGTTCACATCTCACCGTAGAAATTGGAGCCTTCAAATCCATGTGTGTCTACAATTATCCATGTTTGAATGTTAAAATGACGACTCGTTATTTTAAGATACTCTGTGATATATAGAGAAGTCATATATTTTTTTCAAGGAATTGTGCATTGTTTAACATTTCTAGTACCACTGAAGACTATTTACATATAATCAAGACTAAAGTCACACGCATCTGTCCCTTTAATATAGATGGCCATCAACCTGACCACAACAGATCACCAACCCGCGCTGTTACTATTCATTACAAAGGCGCTATACCAAATTAAGAAGTTCCTGAAGAAGTCAGTTGATATTGAAACAGTATTCTCCGGCGACTTGCTAAGGAACCACTGCAAGATTGAATTCTTCCAACAACCAAAAAGGGGTGTCTACCAAGATGAGTGGAATAACACATATAGGAGAAACTAAAAGATATCTGGATGTACGTTTCTGAAAGACAATGAAGAAAAAAAGACAACTATATTTTACAAGGATGACAACTAGCGTTCACAGTTAAGGATCCTCTCTACCAGCTAGTCCTTGGCCAAACCTCTTGGCATTGATCTTAACCGACTGTGCTATAGAATCTCACAAAAATTTTACAAAGGATCGTCTTCTGTGGCTGAATATCTAACTATTGGAAAGAAAACATGACATGAAGTCAACTTTGACGAGACCCACATACTGTGAATCAATAAACATATAAATAAAACCAGGAGACTTGTGAAGCTATCAACATCAGAAGATACCAGCCTGACCTTAACAAAGATGAAGTTATTCGCTTATCGCATAATATGGTAATGGTAAACTTATCAACCGGTAATTCTTAATATCCATGACACTTACACAATATATTCTAGTTAACAAAATATTTCAACTGCAATAAACAATGCAATAATAATATCAGTAAAGTTGTTGATTTTTTATCCTTAATTATTCTTAATTAGTTCAAAGTTTGGTCTAATTATTTCATATTATCAGCATTTATTTCATGAATTATGTAACGTTTTAGAACTTATTAGATAATAATGTAAGGTACTTTATCTGTTATGTAAAGGAAAAAGTACAAAGATTGTGAAAGACGTCTGACACTGTTATTCTCTGGCTTAATAGACATTTTAAATGTTATATCTTTCTTCAATAATAGCCCAACTGAGTAAAATTAAAATGTGATCAAAACAACTCACTGACTGATCAAAATTCAAAAGAGTTCAGACTATGACAACTAAACCTTTTAGAATTTCAGTCTTACAACCAATAGAGGAAAAATATCTTATGATTATGGATTTTGAACTCAATTTATTACTTCAAGTGGAGTTTAATAAAAAATTAAAAATATTTAATGTGATGCAGAATAGAGTAAACAACCCTACATTTGTATGTATACTTTTAGTTTCTCATTCCTTTTTGTATACCCACGATAGTTTTTGACGATTGATTAATCAAGTGACATAATCTGGCGCTTTGCTCCGTGAATTATATCCGCTGATGAGTTCTTTTGAGGATTAGACAATTAATTCTGGAAATTTTGCTCTATTTCCCTCTTTAACTCAAAATGCCATTTGTACCCCCTCTTTATTTGTGACAAATTTAAAAATCCAAGAGTCCAACAGCTATCATGGGTCATTCAATATGAAAATGAACTACAAAGTTATGACGTGACACGTGCAACAGGTATTATAGACGCAATTCACACGCATAAATCATAGACAAGATTGCAACTGCCAAAGAACAAACAATTTCTTATAATACATGGCTTACTAATGATACTAACAGCTAACTGCTAAAAAACTGGGTAACTCTTTTTACAATCCTTTTACCTTCTGAGTCTTTAGAAATATCCAAATAAATAAACGATCCGATCCGCAAAACGAAATCCAAACACGAACCATTGGTTGCAGCTAATGAACTTTTCACAAGAGGGAGTATGTCAATCATACGTGAGTAAGTATCGAAAGCAAAACCCAAAAAGGTATCCACTTCAGAGTATATTTTTTAGCAAACTATTATAATTTACCTTTGAACTTATGTTCCATTTCGGTACTAGGTTCCAAAAATATCTTTAAAAATCTTACTGTTGTCCTTGTTATTTCAAGCACTCATTTACGTTTTGTAGTTTCCGTATCCATAAACACAAACGGTTCAAATATGGTCATGTATCGATAGCAATTATGCCAATAACAATTAGTAGCCGTTAACTCAGACAAAATGGGAATTAGTTAAAAATTGATTAAACGCACATTAACCCATTTTGTTATCAAACATTGTAGGTTTAAAGGGAGAAATGTGCCATTTTAGGGGGTTGATTTTAGTCTTGAATATATGTAAATAGTCTTCAGAAGTTCTAAAATTGAACAGAAAGCACATAATTCCTTTAAAAAGACTCCAAACTAGAAATTTTACTTTCTATTTCTAATTACACGTATTCTATATATCACAGAGTATCAGTATCTTAAATTGACGAGTCGTCATTTTAACATTCAAACGCAGATAATTCTAGACACACTTGGATTTGAAGGCACAAATTGCGACGGTGAGCTGTGAAAACTATTACTGATTAGCTCAGCTAACCATTCTAGTTTCTGAGATTAAGGTATGATTGGTCAGAGAAATTCGTTCGCCATTTTCCTGGGTTGATTTGGATATTGAATAAATATGGAAATAGTCTTCAGAAGTACTAAAAATGTCCGAAAACCGCACAATTCCTTCAAAAATACCTCAATTTTACTTAATGTTTCCATTATCATGTCCAAACCACACGCCCATTCGTCATACTTACTGGTTAATAAGACCATGTCAAAACCGTATTCCTAATACGATGATGTTTCCATATAAGCTTACGTCTTATTATGACAGTCTCCAGAAAAGACGAGTAGTCATTTAAACTTTCAAACGAGGATAATTCTGGAATCATACGGATTTGAAGGCTCACATTTCGACGGCGAGCTGTGAAGACAGTTTCTGATAAGCTTAGCTGAAAAGAATGCCGTTTCTGGGACTTTAACGAAATTGTTTGTAATTCAGTTACAAAGAAAACTGTGCTGAATAACCATCAAAAATAATGCTTGATTGCTTTCATAATTGTTACCTGAAGTTTCTAATGAAACTAGTTTCCTGATGGTGTTATGCTTCATTAATTATTGATAGGATTTTGTCCACTTAAAGGGGCATTCGACTTTATTTGTAGGTCGAAATATTTTTTTAAGAAAACTTTTCAACAAAATCTATCAACATGTATCCCTAAACGTATCTGAAAGTTTTCACTAAAAAATCAGGCCGTTCATTTTTTAGCGCAAAAACTTCTTAGTTATGCTTTTTGGAAAAATACTGTACGGATATAAGGAAAATAAACGCCAAATTGTGGAGAAGTTTGTCTCCTACCTTATGTTTATGGTTTGAACTAGAAATATCAACTCCAAAACTACTTTAGGCTACTTACTTAACAATTGATACATGCCGATTTTAATTAATCCGGCCTTTTAAGACAAATTCAGTTTGATCAAGCAGATACATAGAAGTGAATAACTTTTTCTAGACGTATTTTCAGGTATAACATTTATGTTTTTAATCTAACAAGATTCTTGATGGAG